AAAATCCAAAACATTGAAATATTACAAAGCATCTTTTCTGACCATAAAGCCATAAAAGTAGAAATCAACAACACAAAAAGCAAGGAAAAAAAAATCAAACACATGGAAACTGAACAACATCTTGCTCAAAAACTACTGGGTTATAGAAGAAATTAAGGATGGAATAAAGAAATCCATAGAATCAAGCAAGAATGAAAATACATCCTACCAGAACCTTTCGGAGACAGCAGAAGCAGTGCTCAGAGGTCAGTTTATAGCAATAAATGCACACATCAAAAAGAAAAAAGGGCCATAATCAAAACATTACCCCTACAACTGGAACAAGTAGAAAGAGAGCAGCAAAAGAAGCCCTCGGGTGCCAGAAGAAAGGAAATAATAAGAATTAGAGAAGAATTAAATGAAATAGAGAACAGAAAAACAATTGAAAGAGTTAACAAGTCCAAAAGCTGGTTCTTTGAAAAGATCAAAAAATTGATAGACCATTGGCCAAACTGACAAAAGAAAAACAGAACAGGAAGCAGATAACCCGTATAAGAAATGAGATGGGTGATATCACAACAGACCCAACTGAAATTAAAAGAATCATAACAGATTACTATGAAAAATTGTATCTAACAAATTTGAAAACCTAGAGGAAATGGACAAATTTCTGGAAACTCACTACCTACCTAAATTAACACAAACAGAGGTAGAACAACTAAATAAACCCATAACAAAATAAGAGATTGAAAAGCTTATTAAAAAACTGCCAACAAAAAAAAGCCCTGGCCCGGATGGCTTCACTGGAGAATTCTACCAAACTTTCAGAGAAGAGATAACACCACTTCTACTATTATATAATATTTGGCAGCCTTTTGTAGCTAAAGATTTTTTTCCTTAATATGGCCCCCAGTGACTGACTTGGAAAATGTAAGATCAGCAGATAGTAGGAGAGACTTGGGCTTGGGTTATAGCAAGCAAGTGGCTGGCAAACTTTTTCTGTAAAAGACCAGATAATAAATAAATATGTATAATATAAATATAAATAACTATTATTATAAATATAAAATGGCTTCTGGGCCATACGGCCTCTGCTCCTATTTAACTGTGCTGCAGTAGCACCAAAGGAGCTGTAGACAATATGTCAATGAATGAGCATGTCTGTGTGCCTATAAAGTTTTATTTACAAAAACAGGCAGTGAGCCGAGTTGGGGCCATAGGCTTATAGAAGACAAGTTAAATTCATAAATATTGATATTTTTATAAAGAATCATCTTTTAAATTTAGTTCAGTACTTAATTCCAGCTGCGCATGAGAATCACTTGGAGAGCCTTTATAAAATACAGATGCCCAGGCCCCACTCTTGGCCAATACAATCAAAGTTTTTGGGGTAGGGCCCAGACATTAGTATTTTTTGAAATTTCTCCTGTGGGAAATTTGAGCATAAATTGTATATTAGACGATATTAGTAGTTTAATGTTCAGTTTCTGTAGTTAGATGAGAGAGGTCCTTGTTCTCAAGGAGATATGTGCTGAAATAGCATGAAGGATCATGATGTCTGCAACTGACTTAAGAAATGAAAATCTGTGTGCACGTGTGTGTGTGTGTGTGTGTGTGTGTGTGTGTGCGTGTGCGCGCGCGCGCACGGTTACTAGAGATAACGCAAGTGTGGTGATGTGGTAAAAGTTTAACAGCTGGTGAATCGAGGTGTTATCAGTATAGGAGATTTCAGCCTGCTAATCTCCGATTTTTCTGTAGTTTGAAATTTTTCATAGTTAAACTTGGAGGGTGGGGGCTCCCCTAATGAATGCAGTGTGCAGCCGCTGAGGACTTATGCCCAAGGAGGTATTTACTCTTTGGGGAATGAATTCCTTTGCTAAAATAAAGTACCCTTTTCAAAATGTCTCCTTTTGATGGAGTTTTTTTTTAAAAAAGGTTATCTTGGGGGGTTTGCATTTTTGTAAAGCGAGGCACATCCGTGAAGTATTGCAGTCAGCTCCCCATTGCATGGCCAGCAGGTGGGGATGTGCTCATCTATCAGTCTTTGCGCGTGTTGGCTCTCTTTGGGGGCATGAAGTTAGTAAGAATCATGCCCACCAGAGGACTCCCTGGGCAAGGCAGACAGAATGACCCCAGATCAGAGAACCGGGACACTGGTTTGAGGCTTCTTGAGGGAAAGAGGCTAAAATGTCCCATCCACCGTGGTTTGGGATTGTACATGAGATTCATTATCCTTCTGATTCTGGCTCTCCTCGTTCCGTTTGTTGGCATGTGACAGTGTTTGGTACCTAGTAGTCTGTCAGCAAAGACTTGTTCATTGAATGATTACTTTGAAATGATTTTTTTGAGTCTTTAAGGGGGCTTAGTTTTTAAATGTGAATTCTCTGTTCATAGGGCTTTGTCATGGATTGAAATGTGTCCCCCCAAAATATGTGTCACCTTGGCTAGGCAATGATTCCCCGTATTGTGTGGTTGTCCTCCATTTTGGGATCTGATGCGATTATCCTATGTGTTGTAAATCCTAGCCTCTATGCCTGTGGTTATGATCCTGTTTGGGAGTGAGCTGTCCGGTATGTTAATGAGGCAGGACGCAATCTGTAGGAGTAGGTTGTATCTTGAGTAAATCTCTTGAGATATAAAAGAGAGAAGCAAGAAGAGAGGGGAGGGACCTCATACCACCAAGAAGGAAGTGCCAAGAGCAGAGTGTGTCCTTTGGACCAAGGGACTGTACGCTGAGAAGCTTCTAGACCAGGAGAAGATTGATGACAAGGACCTTCACCCAGAACCGAGAGAGAGAGAAGGCCTTCTCCAGGAGCTGACACCCTGAATTCAGATTTCTGGCCTCCTAGACTGTGTGAGAATAAATTTCTGTTTATTAAAGCCATCCATCTGTGGTATTTCTGTTATAGCAGCACTAGATAACTAAGATTGCTAGATAACTAAGACAGACTTAGTGACAAAGCAAAGAAAACAAAATGCTATACTGCTAACTAAAAAATATGAGATGAGATGGCTTCACATACATTCCCAAGAAAGAAAAATTGTATTTTGGTGGCACACACAGTTAAGCACTCGGCTGCTAACCAAAAGTTGGAGGTTGGAGTCCACCTAGAGCCACCTTGGAAGAAAGGTCTACTTCCGAAAGATGAACCAATGAAAACCCTATGGAACACAGTTCTACTCTGAGACACATGGGGTTGCCATGAGTCAGAACTGACAGCGACTGGTAACTGGTATTTAGAGTGCAGTGGCCAGATGAAAAAATCTTTGCACAAACTACTTTTGGCTCTTCAGCTCTCAGGGAACCACGAGTCTGGTGTGTTGGACAGCACCTGTGCTCCTTGCTGTCCTTGGCACCAGACCCCGGTGTAATGGCGGAGAGTAATGGCCACTACCATTTGATAATAGAAAGACAATCAGAATTTGGGAGGAATAGAAGATTTAGAATAACTTCTACGAGATTCCATCAGCTCTAACATGCTTGTGTGTTTGCATACATGTGTGAAATGCTATTACATTAAAATTTTTTTCTATTTATAAGAAGAATGTGTGCTCATTGTAGATAATTAGGAAAATGCAGAAACACTTGTAGAAGGAATGCCCTGCGGCCCCAGCATCTGGTGACTTCCTTTGAGAACAGTCACTGATGCAGGGGGTGGGGGCATGTTGCTCGGGCATCCGGTTTTCTAGCAGTGGTCACCTGTCTCCCTTGGCCTCTCCAGGCCTGGATGCTCCTCCTGGGAGCACCACTCAAGCCCCCATGTGGCCCTTACTCTTTGTTTGTGCCTAATTCCTTTTCCCCTCGTCCCTCTCCTCTGAAACAGTGGGCCCCTAAGGCAGGCAGCGGGAAAAGCACGAGAGGCTTTAGGGTCAGGATAAACCTGTGTTCTAATCCCGGCTCTGCTTTGCACATGCTTGATGGTCTTGGGGCAAGTCATACTGCCTCCCTGAGCCTCCGTTTCTTCATCTGTAAAATGGGAGTGATGAAAGTAACTCCTCGGGGGATTGGGAGTATTTGGGGAAATGTATGGAAAGGGTCTAGCTGCTTGCCTGGCACATAGTAAGCGCCTGATAATTGCCAGCTAGTGGTAGTGATACAGGCAGGGACTCAGTTGTATTTTTCTTCTCATGAGGCATTTAGGGCATGGTTTGGGGTGGATGAATGGGTGACTGAATGAATGGGACAGGGGATTCACAGTAGAAAGTGGTAAGGGTATATGTAGCAGGTCCTGCTGGGTATGTTCAGACAGCCGAGCAGTTGTTTGGTTTGCTGGGGCAGCCGCACCCCTGGCAGAGGGTGATCACTGGACATTTTCCCTTTGGCAGAAAAAGCCACTTAGGATTCCATTTTTGTCCCCTTGCAGGATGAACTCTGTAGTCCAGACCCTGCCCTGTCAGACGAGCTGACCTCCATCCTCAACGAGCTCACTCAGCTGAGCAAAAGCGAGCACTGCAAAGTGGCCCTCAGAGCCAGACAGGTAGGGACACGGGATGTGACCCCACTGTGTGCAGCTCTACTGTGTGCAGCCCCACCGTGCACGGCCCCGTCGTGGTGCAGCCCCACTGTGCACGGCCCCAGCATACACGGCCCTACCATATGCAGCCCCACTTTGCGTGGTCCCACCATGAGCAGCCCTACTGTGCGCAAGCCCATTGTACATGGTCCCACAATGTGCAGCCCAGTCATGCGCAAGCCCCACTTGTACATGGGCCTGCCATGTCTAGTCGCACTATGTGCAGTCCCACTGTGTGCAGCCCTACCATGCAGGGACCTACCATGTGCAGTTCCATTTTGCATGGCTCCACCATGAGCATCCCCACTGTGCACAAACCCATTGTGTGTGATCCCACTGTGCACAACCCCACATGAGCAGTCCCATTGTGCATGGCCCCACTGTGCAGCCCCACTATATGTGGCCCCACCATGTGCAGCCCCACACAGTACAGCCACTGTGCACAGCTGCACCGTGTATAGCTCCACTGTGTGTAGACCCACCATGCGCAGCCTCATCATCATCCGTGACCCTCTGCTACCAGCCCACATCTCATCTGCTAGGCTGGCCCTCAGCGCTCTCCTGAGAGGTTGGCTCACCCAGCCCCTCCGGCCTTCCCTGCTACAGGTCCTGATTGCCTCCCACCTCCCCTCCTATGAGCTGAGACACAACCAGGTGGAGTCCATTTTCCTGTCCGCCATTGACATGTACGGCCACCAGTTCTGCCCAGAAAACCTCAAGGTGAGGCCTTCTCCTTCCTTCCACCTTCTACTGTGGCCCGAGTGGGGGTCTCGGGGGAGGTGGGTGTTCATGTCCTCAAGGTGCTCTTGTGTCCTCCAGGTGGTCTTGTGTGGGGCACAGTCACAAACACAGGCAGTTCAGCCCGGTGGGCAAGGGCTGCCTGAGGGTGGGCATCAGGGGAAGAGGCTGCTGGAAAGGTGGCCTGGAGCTCAGTCTTGAAGGATGAGTGCTGTGTCAGGCAGTGGGGACATCCAGCAGGTGCAACTTGTAAAATCCAGGTGTGATCCAGTGTATTTGGAAGAGGCACAGTCACGTGGCGGAGTCCCAGGTTCATCTTTGCAGCTCGTTGCCCCACCCCCAACTCTGATGCTTATTTACAAACTCCCAGGTCCACCCCCAGTGTTTGACACTGGAAACCCTGCGTGAGTCATTGGAGGGGGGCCAGTGCTCTCCAATCTGTGGAACTAACCCCTAGAAGGAACCACGTGGCTCGGACACGGGCAGCGTTTAGTTATAGTAACACGGGGGCTTCTCCTCCTTGTTCCCACCCCTCCCACTCTTCTGACTGCTGGTTAAAACTTGTTGATGTTTCTTTTTTCCTTTTTCTTCCCTTTCCATTTCCTGCAGAAACTAATACTTTCAGAAACGACCATCTTTGATGTCCTGCCCGCTTTCTTCTATCACGCCAACAAAGTCGTTTGCATGGCATCTCTGGAGGTAAGGCCTTTATCAGAGCAATAACACTGAATGTGCCAGTCTTAGCTTTCCCTGCCCGCTCACCACACACCTGCTTCTGGGCCAAGTACCTTGCAAAGATTATCCTATGGTTCTCTCCATAAGGTAGGTACCGTTATTATCCCTGTTTTACAGAGGGGGAGCTGAGGCTCAGAGAGGCGAGTAACTTGCTCAGGGTCGCACAGCTAGGAAGTGGCAGAACCAGGATTCAAACTAGGTCTGCCTTACTCCAAAGGCCATGTTCATAACCACTGTGCTGTCTGGTCCATCATTCCCACCTGTCCCAGGCAGAGCATGCTGTCGTTGTCATTAGGTGCTGGTGCCATTGAGTCAATTCTGACTCATGGCGATCCCACGTGACAGAAAGTAGAAGTGCCCCATAGAGTTTCTAGGCTGTGGTCTTTATAGGAGCAGACTGCCAGGTTTTTCTCCCGCAGAGCCTCTGGATGGGTTCAAACAGCCAACCTTTCGGTTAACAACCAAGTGCTTAACCGTTGTGCTACCAGAGCTCCTTAAGCAGGGCATAGGTAAATGCTAACCCCAAGAGTCAGGTCTGAGGCCCCTTGTTCAAACTTTCAGAGTCACCTGCAGGCAATACTTTTTTTTTTGCTTAAAACCAAATGCATTATTATCTCAGTTTCCGTGGGTCAAGATTCTGGACACGGCTCAGTTGGTTCTCTGCTCAGGGTCTCACAAGACAGCAATCAAGGTGTCAGATGGGCTTTGTTCCTTTCTTGAGCTCGGGGCTGCCTTCCAAGCTCATGTGGTTGTTGGTGTATTCAGTTTCTTCCAGTTGTAGGCTGAGGGCCTCGTTTTTCCTGGCTGTCAGCTGGGCGCCCCTCTGTTCCCAGCGGTCTCCCGTAGTTCCTTGCTGTGTGGCCCTCTCATGGTGCATGCAGTACTTTTGAAAGACTTTTCTGCTTGGAATTACAAGAGCTGGAAGAAACCCAGGTGAGCCCTTAGGGTGACTGCCTGGTGTGACGGGGCGGAGAAGGGTGTGACTGGCAGCAAACCCCAATTAGAGCCAGGTCGCCTTGCTCCTGTACCAGGCTCCCTCCTTCCTTCCTGAGTTCAGGGCTGAGATATAGTGGCGGTGGCCCGTCTTTGTTTATTTTAGGAAACCGGTGTTTTTTATCTGCCTTTTCAGAATCTTATCAAGAAAATATGCGATAGCATCTTTTTTTCAACTTGACTCTTTCCTCTGGATCACTGTAGTCAAGGGTGGTTTCCCTCATTTCTTCACCCTCTGAACTCGCAGCCTCGGTCACCTGTGGCCACCACTTCCCCTTCTGCCTTCTTTTAGACCCTGAAGGTCACCTATCCTGACACTGGAAGGTCCACTGAACCTTCATGGAGACAGTTTGGGCTTGTGAGCTGGGTGGCACAAATGGTTAAGTGCTCAGCTATTAACTGAAAGGTTGGAGGTTTGAGTTCACCCAGAGGTGCCTCATAAGAAAGACCTGACGATCTACTTCCAAAATATCACAGCCATTGAAAACCCTGTGGAGCAGTTTTTTTTCAGCTTCTTACAAATTGTGCCTGCCTTTACCCAGCAGCACCCACTGAGGGCCAGCTGCGTGGGGTGAACTACACATATATGTTTGCCTCCATGGAGCTTACACTCTAATGAGGGCAACAAACCTTAATAAATTCAAATTCTGTAAGATTACTGACAGTGTGATAATCACCAGGAATAAGAGTATAATAAAAAGCCAAAAAGTTAGTATAGAAAAACAATGCCTTCCTACACTACCGGAGAATTCTTTCATTCTTAAAATGTGATTAGGCAGTGAGAAACTTATGAAAGCAGTTATTTTCCTGGGGAAGTCTATGTTAGTTCTTAAAGCATACGGTATTTTTATACTTCTTTTAATTGTACTTTAGATGAAAGTTTACAGAACAAACTATCTTCCCATTAAACAATTAGTACACGTATTGTGTTGTGACATTGGTTACCAACTCCACGACATGTTAACACTGTCCCTTCTCGACCTTGGGTTCCCCATTACCAGCTATCCTGTCCCCTCCTGCCTTCTAGTCCTTGTCCCCAGGCGGGTGTGCCCCTTTAGTCTCATTTTGTTTTATGGGCGTGTCTAATTTTTGGCTGAAGGGTGAACCTCAGGAGTGACTTCATTACTGAGCTAAAAGGGTGTCCGGGGGGCCATACTCTCAGGGTTTCTCCAGTCTCTGTCAGGCCAGTAAGTCTGGTCTTTTTTAATGAGTTAGAATTTTGTTCTACCTTTGTCACCAGCTCTATCCGGGACCCTCTATTTGATCCCTGTCAGAGCAGTCAGTGGTGGTAGGCAGGCACCATCTAGTTGTGCTGGACTCAGTCTGGTAGAGGCCATGATAGTTGTGGTCCATTAGTCCTCTGGACTAATCTTTCCTTTGTGTCTTTGGTTTTCTTCATTCTCCCTTGCTCCAGATGGGGTGAGGCCAGTAGAGTATCTCAGATGGCCACTCACAAGCTTTTAAGACCCCAGACGCTACTCACCAGCACACCAACCCAGGGACAAGAACTAGAACGCAGGAGGGGTCAGGAAAGCTGGTAATAGGGAGCCCAAGGTCGAGAAGGGAGAGTGTTGACATGTTGTGGGGTTGGTAACCAATGTCACAAAACAATATGTGTTCTAATTGTTTATTGAGAAGCTAGTTTGTTCTGTAAACCTTCATCTAAAGTATAATAATAAAAAAATAAAAATACTGTAAACCCAGATGCTACTCACCAAAGTAGAATGTAGATCATTTTGTTTGCAAACTATGTTATGCCAGTTGAGCTAGATGTTCCCCAAGACCATGGTCCCCACAGCTCTCAGCCCAGTAATTTGGTCCCTCAAGGAGTTTGGATGTGTCTGTGGTGCTTCCATGACCTTGCCTTGCACCAAGTTGTGCTGGCTTCCCCAGTGGAGCACAGTTTTACTCTGACACACATGGGGTTGCCATGAGTTGGAGTCAAATTGATGGCAACTTATTTTTTCTTCTTTTTATGGTGCTTTCAAGTTACAATAGCAAGAGTTGAGTAGTTTTGACAGAGTCCATATGGCCTGCAAAGCCTAAGCTATTTACTACCTGGTTTTACAGAAAATGGAAACTGTGGTGGCGTAGTGATTAAGAGCTACGGCTGCTAACCAAAAGGTCACGGTTCGAATCCACCAGGTGCTCCTTGGAAACCCTATAGGGCCGTTCTACTCTGTCCTGTAGGGTCACTATGAGTCAGAATCAACTTGATGGCAATGGGTTTGGTTTGAGTTTTTTTTACAGAAAAAGTTTCTATCAACCTCTCCTCTGGAGCTGAAGAAGTAGATTTTGTTTAACCATAATGTTCTGAAATGTGAGCGAATTTGCCCGTCGCTACTGTTTAGAGATCATTTAGAGATGACTTCTTGTACTCCTCCAGTCTAAGTTTTCTCAGGTTGTGAGGACGTCTTTCACGTCATCTGAGAATGTCCACTGTGCTTCTGCTTCAGGTGTATGTGCGGAGGGGCTACATCGCCTATGAGTTGAACAGCCTGCAGCACCGGCAGCTCCCCGATGGCACCTGCGTGGTGGAATTCCAGTTCATGCTGCCCTCCTCCCACCCAAACAGGTAGGCAGTGGGCACACCTGGGGACACCTGGAGTTCTCTCCTCCCTCACCTCTCTGGAAACCCTGGTGGCGTAGTGGTCAAGAGCTATGCCTGCTAACCAAAAGGCCGGCAGTTCAAATCCACCAGGCTCTCCTTGGAAACCCTATGGGGCAGTTCTACTCTGTCCTCTAGGGTCACTATGGGTCAGAGTTGACCCAACGGCAACAGGTTTTTTGGTTTTCTCACCTCTCTAGTCCTGACTCTGCAGGAACCAGCAAGTACTCCTGGGAACGATGGTGGAGGGACATCAGGGCCACCACTTCCCCACTGCTGCTTCTCCCCAAATCTCTGTTAGCTCATTTATAAAATGGAGGTAATCTAGTGCCTGCCTTGCAGACCCACGCTGTCCAATATGGTCGCCACTCCCCACGTGTGGCTATTCAAATGAACAACAGTGTATCCAAATTAAAATTCAGTCCTTCAGTCACACGAGCTGCATTTCAAGTATGCAGTGGCTCCATGTGGCTCGTGGCTACCATGTTGGACGGTGCAGATAGGAACATTTCTCTCATCCCAGAAAGATCTACTGGACGGTGCTGCACAGACCATTGTGAAGAGTAGATGAAATATGGCACAGACAGCATTTGGGGCAGTGCCCATTACGCGGAAAGTGCTCGATGAATATTAGCAATCACCATGGTTATTGTTAGTTATTGCTGCCTCGTGGCAGGCCCCTGGTCAGGTGCTTCCACTAAGTGCTTCCAGAAACACTTGATTTCATCCAGCCTTCACCATCTGTCTGCCAAAAATGTGTTCTCGTCCCCATTTTACAGATCAGGCACCCCGGGCGCTCACTTGCTTTAGCCCACGCTGCTTTTGTTGCTCATTGACACGAAGCTGGAAGTGAGCCCAGGCGGCCCCTCCCTTCCAAGTTCTTTCACAGCATTGAGCGGCCCTTGGCAGGGGGCTGCTGCAGGCTTGGGGGGCCACCTGCCCGTGTCCGTGCAGCTTAGCGGAGCCCTCGATGTTCTCAACTGAGGATGTCCGAGTGTGCCTGAGTAGCTCACGCACAGTTTCTTTTTTTAATTGTGGTAAAATAATCTGTAACATAAAATTTGCCATTTTAGCCATTTATAAGTGTACAGTTCAGTGACATTAATTACATTCATCATGCTGTGCAACCATCACCACTATCTATTTCCAAAACTTTTTCGTCACCCGCCCCCAGCAGAAACTCTGTCCCCCTTAAGCAGTAACAACCCATTGCCCACCAGCTCCTGGTAACCGCTCATCTCCTTTGATATCTATGCACATGCCTGTTCTGGATACTTCGTGTAAGTGGGATCATACGATACTTGTCACTTTGTGTCTGGGTTATTTCACTCAGCATAATCTTTTTAGGGTCCCTCCATATGACAGCATGTATCAGTGCTTCATTCCTTGTTATGGCTGAGTAATAGTCTATTGGGAGCCCTGGTGGCACAGTGGTTAAGCACTCAGCTGCTAATCGAAAGGTCGGTGGTTTGAAGCCACCAGCCGCTCTGCGGGAGAAAGATGTGGCGGTCTGCTTCCGTAAAGATTACAGCCTTGGAAACCCTCTGGGGCAGTTCTGTCTGTCCCGCGGGGTTGCTATGAGTCAGGATCGGCAATGGGGTTGATATTCCATTATGTAGATATACCACATCTTGTTTATCCATTCATCTGCTGATGAACATTTAGGTTGTGTCCACCTTGTGGCTATTGCGAACAGTGCTGCCGTGAACTCTGGTGTCCAGGTTCACCATCACTTTTTTTTGACTCATCTTATTTCAGGGCCCGAAGTGCCGTTCTGGTCAGGTGGAGTGCAATACCTTCTACTAAAGCAATTGTGTCTCCGGGGTCTGGAGGGTTCTCTTTCACTCTCCCGCCTCTGTAGTTCTGGTTCTCAAAGGCCTTGCTTGTGGCTACAACGGTCTCGTCCTGATTTGGGGGCTCTGCCGATCAGATCTTGTACCTACATGGGCAACAGGTTTCATGCTTTCTGAAACAGGGATTTCTCTGGTCGCTTGGGATTTTCAAAGAAATGTTTCACTTTCCTTTGGTTTTTAAGAAGAAAGATGCTGCCTTCTTAGTGGCTAAAGAGAAGAACTGCTTCCCTGTAAGGCTGCTCCTTTCGTAGTTGTAATTCATCTTTACCCTTCTTCTTCCCGGGAAAAAGGATTCGGACATTTTACCCAACTGAGAGAAAGGGAGACTGCCCGCAGCCAGAAACCATTCTGGGGGCTGTGGATGGTGGATGGTGGAGATCATCTGCCCCTAAGGAGGAAGTCCTTTCTCTCTTGGTTTCGTTGTCTCAGCTGGTAACCTGTTAGCAGGGAAGGCAGTTTGGTGAGGGTTGTGGGTCAGGTCTTGGTTCTTAGGAAGAAACTGCCGTGTATCCAGCTTATTTGTGGTGACCCCAGTATGCGCACAGGTCCCTGCATTGTTGACTCAGAGATTCCCTAGCTGGGCCTATGCTTTTTTTTTAAAACATAGATTTTTTTCTTTTTTTTTATCGTAGCGAGAATATACATCGCAAAGCATTTGCCGATTCAACAAGTGCTGCATGTACAATTCACTGTGATTATTACAGTCTTCTTATTGGGCAGCCGTTGTTCCTATCTTTTCCAAACTAAGCTCTAGGCCCTCGCTTTTGCTATCGGCTGGAGGTGCTGGGAGATCTGTCTGGGCCTGTGGCCCCAGAAGAGACCCTCCTTTGCAGCTGCCCCCCACCCAGCTCTGCGGGGCCTCCGGCTTATGCCTCAACACCTGCATTTGTGGAGTGGGCGCGTTGTGAATTAGTTGTTGGGGAGCAGAGAGTAGGTCAGACAAGGGTCAGTAGGCACGCCAGGCTGTGGCTTATGCAGGTAACACACTCCAGTGCCCTCGGGGGCTATGGACATCACCAGAAGTTGGGGAGCTACCTAGGTGGTGCAAACAGTTCATGTGCTTGGCTGCCGACCAAAAGGTTGGAGGTTCAGGTTCAGCCAGAGGCGCCTCAGAAGAAAGGCCTGGCAATCTACTTCTGAAAAAAATCAGCCATTTAGAACCCTATGGAGCACAGTTCCACTCATGGGGTCACCATGAGTTGGAGTGGACTCGGGGGTACCTGGTTACCAGTTAATTAAAATATATTAAATACTACAATTATATTACATTAAATTATATTTTAAAATGCTGCATGGACCAAACAAAACTGTCTGTGGATGGAATTCATGCAGCCCTGCCAGTGTGTAACCTCTGGATTTGGCTGCCAGGAGTCTGGTCAGCTCCAAGGGGTATGGTTAATGATTTCAGGGGTATATAACAGGAACACACACACACAAGCTCCACCTCACCTGTTGGGGGTCCCCAAGACCACCTCCTAGGTTCGATGATTCACTAAGGGGACTCACAGGATTCAACATACAGTTGTAGTCACAGCTATGATTTATTACAGTGAAAAGATACAAAGCAAAATCAGCAACTGGAAAAGGGGCATGGGGAGAAGTCTGGGGGAAACCAGGCACAAGCTTCCAGAGTCTTCTCCCAGGGAGCCACACAAACCAATTGCTGTCAAGCCAACACCAATTCATAGCAACACGATGTGTGTCAGAGTACAACTGTGCTCCATAGGGTTTGAATGGCTGATTTTTTGGAAGTAGATTGCCAGACCTTTCTTCCAAGGCACCTATGGGTGGACTCAAACTCAACCTTTTGGGTAGCAGCCAAGTGCATTAACCATTTGCACCACCCAGGGACTCCACCTTAATTCTTCCAGCTATAAGTTGTGACAATATGTGTGAAATGTCTACCAGCTTGTTAGAAACTTGGTATCCTGGGTTTTTATTGGGGGCTACTTCCTTAGGCACTCTCTGCCTAGCACATACCGAAATTCCAGACTCTCAGAAGGAAAGCAGGTGTTCAGCATATACCACACTGTTTATGCAAACAGTTTAGGCATAGTGAGACACGCTTACCAGTTCTAGAAATGGTGGTGTGGACCCTCTTGAATCCAAGTTCCCAGACACCATCCAAGGGCCGACCTTGCAAGCAGGCCTTTCTAATGGTCTCAGGCCTGCCGTGTCAACTCCTTTCTGTGCACCATCTGATAAACAACACCTCCTTCACCTGAGCCCTGGTGGTGCAGTGGTTAAGAGCTCGGCTGCTAACCAAAAGTTCAGTAGTTCGAATCCACCAGCCACTCGTTGGAAACCCTATGGAGGCTGTTCTACTCTGTGCTGTAGGTCGCTATGAGTTGGAATCGACTTGATGGCGACAGGTTTGGTTTGGTTTTTTCACCTGATTCCAGGGTCTGATTCCATCACCCCTCAGGTGACCCATGTGGATTTGCTCCTGATAACCAGTGACCCTCTACACTCTTAACAGGCTGCTGGTCTTTGGGCAGATTTAGTATCTGGTGCTGTCAGGAGAGGAGGTTTGCTGGAGGGGGAGGGAGCAGGGTGAGCAGAGGCCTGGGGTGTCTCTGGACCAAATTGGCGTTGGGTGTGTTCATTCTGTGTCTAAGTTCTCCACTTTGGATTTACGCTGGGACCATGTTGGGACTGGACTTGTATGCATGAATGCATCGTTCATTCATTCGTTCATTTGTTCATTCACTTACTGAGCTCTTACTCTATGCTGGGGTCCTGAACACTCGATGACTTCTCAGTCCCTGGCCCCAGTATCAGCCCCCACGTTAAGCCCTTGTTTCAGAAGGCTCTAATGCTGGCCCGGCTTGCCGAAGCTTCGGGGGCAGGACCTCAGGCTGGGTCTCTGTACAGCTGCTGCATCCCCCTTCTCGCTGCCCTGCAGGATGTCCATGCCCATCAGTGTCACCAACCCTGACCTGATGAGGCACAGCACGGAGCTCTTCATGGACAGCGGCTTCTCCCCGCTGTGCCAGCGGATGGGGGCCATGGTCGCCTTCCAGAGATTCGAGGATTTCATCAGGTACCCGGTGTGACAGAGGGGCTGGGCAAGCTTCCCCTGACCCTCCCTTTCCCTTGACATATGGGATGGAGGAGGCCCCACACATTACATGATTTCGTTGGTAATAACAGAACAATAATAGCATCATAGCCAAGAGCGTGGGCGTTCGCCTCAGCCCATCTGCATTTAAACCTTGGCTCTGCTGCTTCCTTATCACGAGACCCTGAGCAGATTATTTAACCTCTCTGTACCTCAGTTTCCTCATCTCTAAAATGGGGATAAGAGTAAGACCTACCCATAGGGTTGCCATGATAATTAGATAGTATACATGAAAGAGTATATGTGAAATGTAATTAATATGTCAATAACATACTCAGTAAGTGCTAGCGATCTGTGCTATTACTATTCCTGTCTTTTCAACCTGTCGCTTGGTTATCCTGTTGGATCTTCACCACGGCCTTATGAGCTTTGACTCGAGGTGAGGTGACGTTTCCTAGAATCTCACAGTCACTGAAAGGGGGAGCTGAGAGTTGAACTCAAGCCTAGCTGACACCCCACAGTATTGGGGATCCTCCCCTTTAATCATGATCACAGACCACATAGGTCCATTCTTCCATTTGGGGGAAGAACCCATCAGGCGTGCCTTTTGCCTCATCAAGGAACCGATGAGGTCTGCACAGGATGGGTGAGATCAGAGAGTAAAGAAGGCAGGCCCACCTCTCCCATCTGCCTAGCAAGGGACCACGGCCCGCAACTTTCCCCTCTGCCCCTCCCCCCCAGGAACTTTGATGAAGTGATCTCCTGCTTCGCCAATGTGCCCAAGGACATCCCCCTCTTCAGCAAGGCCCAAACCTCCCTGTACTCGGACGATGATGGCAAGGTACCAAGGGCTCAGGAGGGGGTGGTGGGGCTGTGGGCTGGCCACCACCGAGCACGTGTTTTCCCCTCTCAGAGCACCAGGGAAGAGCCCATCCATATCCTGAACGTGGCCCTCCAGTCTGCAGACCACCTGGAGGACGAGGAGCTGGTGCCGATCTTCCGGACGTTTGTGCAGTCCAAGGTGCTTCGGTATAGCTGGGATTTGTGGGGGCCGTGGGCGGCCCGTGGAGGAGGCGGAGCGTGTGGTCTTGGCCAGGCGCCTGAGGGGTGTGGGGAGGCCATGCTGCTGAGTGCTTCAGAGATGCAGGCCTGGCTTCCCGTCCTGGCTCTGCTTCCCTCATTGCCGGCAAACTTGGCGGCAGTGGCTGACCGGCAGAGGCTCGGTTTCCTCATGTGCAACATGGGGACAGCATTTCTCTTTGCCAGGGTGTTGCAATGATGGTGGGAAGGGGAGATATTTTCATTGGAGTAACTCAGAAGCCCACAGTGTTAAAATGGCCAATTAAATTGACAACCGTGTATGCAAAAAACAGTGGGTTACTTTTTCAGAATTCTTCTGTAAGCATGTGGTGGTCTTTTCTAGCATATGTTCTCAGTTGGTGGTGGGGACGGCTATTATGTACCTGCAGGGACCTCAGCGGCAAACAAATGTGGAGCAGCTAGGCAAGCGGGGTCGTAGAAATAGAATGAGATCGTATTCACACGCACATACACACACACTCACGCATGTGTATGTATACACACGTTCACACACATACACATTCACAGTCACTCACATTTAGACACATGTACACATTCACACATATATACATATATACATTAACACACATTTACACTGTGTACACATTCACACACATACACATTCACAAATACACACATCTACACATACATTCACAAATGTATACATATGCACACACTCACATATACACATTCACACATACATATACACATTTACACATATGTACACACATTCACACTCTCACATCTACACATACATACACATTTACACATGTAAACACGTTTACACACACATTACACACATGTATGCACATTCACACACACATTTACACATGTAAACATTTACACACTCACATACATACGTATGCACGTTCACACATGCATACACACATTCTTATACAACACACATTCCCCCCCAGGTGAGAACCAGTTATCAGGCTCTCAATAACCAGGTTGATTTCCACGGGGATCCTCTTCGTATTGCGGTTTGTCCTCTCACTTCCCAGCCGGCCTTCGCTAAAGCGTTCTTCTACCTGCATGATTTTACCTCTTTCTGAAAAGGGCTAAGAAGATTTCTTTCCCCTAATGATTTCCCTCCCCATAGTGACAAAGCCGACAATGACCTTAGTTTCTTGTCTTCTGGGTGTTTTCCTTCTCCATAAAAGTATATAGAATAGTTCATTTGGGGAGCAACTAAAACCGGTTTTGTCCTTCCTTCGGGTCAGTTTTTTTATTGCTGTCTAATGTACAGAGAAACGCACAAGTCATATATGTATAGCTGGATGCATTTCCACAGTGAATGCACAAGCGTAACCAGCATTTGATCAAGACGTGGACCATCCCCAGCCCCCTGGAAGCCCCTCATGCCTTCTCCTGTCACTGCCTCCCTAAAGATAGCTGATCACTGTGCTGACTTCTAAGTGTAGATTCGTTGGTCTGTTCTTGAATGTTATGTAAATGAAAGCATACAGTTTGTATTCTTTCATGTGGGACTTTTTTTGCTCAAGTTATGCTTTTTTTTTAAAAATTGTGGTAATATAACAATTGTGTTAATAAAATATAATTAATTGTTTAATACAATAATTTAATTGTTATATAACAAAAATTGTCATTGCAACATTTTTTACACGTACAATCCAGTGACATTAATCACTTTCATCATGTTGTGCGAACATCACCACTATCCATTTCCAAACGTTTCCATCACCCTTCGCAGAAGCTCAGCGCCCTCCCACAGCAAGTAATGAGTCCCTCGTTCCCCTTCTCTCCCTTTCCTGGTACCACTAATAAACTTTGGTCTCTATACATTTGCCTACTCTAGATAGTTCGTATAAGTGGGAACATACACTATTTGTCCTTTTGTGACCAACTTATTTCATTCAGCATAATGATTTCAAGGTTCATCCATATTGTCGCATGTATCAGGACTCCATCTCTCTTTACAGCTGAGTAATATTCCGTTGTATGTATGTGCCCGATTTTGTTTATCCATTCATCTTTAACTTGTCTTTTTGTATCACAGCTCTTTTGATGTGTAGTTCACATGCCTTGCAGTTCACCTACGCTGAACAGTAATACACTTCAGTGGTTTTAGGTATAATCATAGAGTTGTGCCGCCATCAGCACAGTTCACTTTAGAACATTCTCATCACCCTAAAAAGAAACCCTATACCCATTGGCAGTCACTCGCTATTTTCTCCCCAACACCCTCCTCCCCCAAGCCCTGTTGTTGTTAGGTGCCGTTGAGTCGGTTTCAACTCATTGGGACCCCATGTGACAGAGTAGAACCTTCCCATAGGGTTTGCTAGGCTGTCATCTTTACGGCTGCTGGGTAGGTTTGAACCATCAACCTTTTTTTTGGTAGCAGCTGAGCACTTATCTGTTGCGCCACCAGGGCTCCTTCCCCCAGCCCTAGGCAACCGCTAATCTACTTTCTGTGTGTATAGATTTGCCTACTCTGGACATTTTCTCTAAATGGAATTAGACAACATGTGGTCCTTCATGGCTGGCTTCTTTTACTTAGAATAATGTTTCCAGGGTTCACCCATGTTGTAGCATGTATCAGAGCTTTATTCCTTTTTATGGCTGAATAATATTCCGTTGTGTCTTTGGTTTTTAATGCAGAGAAATATCCTTGTGGATTATGGACTCCGAAGAATCACATTCCTGATTGCCCAAAAGGTCAGTCCAATTCTCAGTTCACCTATCTAAGTCTTTTCCCTTCTCCAAGACCCAGTCCCATTTATGTGACTTTTATCCTGCAAATTAGGGTGGAAGAAATCAATCACTAGAAAGGAGAAGGCTTTCCAAATGATTCATTCTAGAAGCGGACTGGGTTATCATCAAAAAATACAAAATAAGTGTGCGAATTTTTAAATGAGCCTTGCTTGACTTAATTGTCTTTCGTGTGGGTTTCTTTTTGCAGAAAGAATTTCCCAAGTTTTTCACATTCAGAGCAAGAGACAAGGTATGACCAAAAGCAATGTTTTTTTCTGTTCCTGGAATCTTTGATATTCGTGAAGAATATGGCCGCCAGCCCTTGAGATACCCATGATTCTAGAACATGACAGCTGTTATGTAGACTCTGCCTTCCTCTGGGATTGTATTTCCAAAAACCAAACAAACCAAACCTGTTGCTGTCGAGTCGATTCCGACTCATAGCAACCCTACAGGACAGAGTAGAACTGCCCCATAGGGTTTCTAAGGAGCAGCTGGTGGATTTGAACTGCCAGCCTTTTGGTTAGCAGCAAGCTCTTAACCACTGAGCCACCAGCCCTCCATTTCCAACAAGAACCCTGTGTTTTCTGTGCAGAACTCACATCTTAAGTCTCCTACCCTTCCAGCTTTCCCTATAGGATTCTCTCTCACTTGGATAATTTTTGTACTTGCTGGTATGTTCAGTAAGACAGTTTTACTAATCTCAGTTTTTTTTCCCTAAAAGAGAGGTTGGCAAACTGGCCTGCAGGATGTTATTGTAAATGGTTTTATTGATACACAGCCACGCTTTTAAGCATTTATTTACTTTGAGAAAAGGTTTGCTGACCTCTATTCCAGAGCAGGTGGGCTTGTTCCCGACACAGGCCCATAACTCATCCAATTTCAGTATTTTAGATTTTACTTGATCCAAAGGCTCACCTTTTCTAGATAAGCACCATCCCTTCTTTAGAGTCTTCATTCTCTCTTCGTTTTGGTCTCCAGCACTATTGTTTGCTCCCTTTTAGTGGCCATTTTTCACAAAGCAACTAGGTGTTAGTGACTTCTGAAGGATGGCTGTGTGCTGTCTGTGCGGCAGATGCTGGGGACAAGCTAGACTCGCCGTGAGCTCAGAGGTGTGGCAGCACTCCTGTCTTACGACACACAGCCCTCCTCTGGGCCTTGGCAAAATCCCGATGCCTTGAGCCCTCAGGGTTGCTCACCATAAAGTTATACCATGAACACTGAATTCATGAACACTGGGCGGCTAGGGGACAGGGCGTGGGCAAGCAGGTGCACAGCCCTGATGGCAAATTCTGTGTGTGTCTCTGTGTGTATGTCTTTGTGTCTGTATCTGTGTGTGTTTCTGTGTGTCTGTGTTGTGTGCGTGTGTCTCTGTGTGTGTCTGCGTCTGGTCTGTATGTGTCTGTGATTATGTATCTCTGTCACTGTGTCTGTTTGTCTGTGTGTGTCCGTGTCTCTGTATGTGTCTGGTGTATACATGCCTGTGTTTCTGTGTGTCTCTGTGTCTCTCTCTCTCTCTGTGAATCTGTGTTTGTGTGTGTGCCTCTGTGCCTTTGTGTATGTGTGTGTGTGTCTGTATGTCTCTTTGTGTCTATGTCTGTGTGTCTCTGTGTGTGGTCTCTGTATGTCTGTGTGTGTATGTCTGTGTATCTGTGTGTGTGGTCTCTGTGTGTGTATGTCTGTATGTGTGTTTGTGTGTGTCTGTGTGTATCTGTGTGTGGTCTCTGTGTCTGTGTGTATCTGTGTGTGATCTCTGTGTGTCTTTGTGTATCTGTGTGTGTCTGCGTGTGGTCTCTGTGTATCTGTGTGTGTCTTTTCCCTCTGGCGGCCTGCAGTTTGCGGAAGACCGCATTTACCGTCACCTGGAGCCCGCGCTGGCCTTCCAGCTGGAGCTCAGCCGGATGCGAAACTTCGACCTGACCGCCGTGCCCTCTGCCAACCACAAGATGCACCTTTACCTGGGCGCAGCCAAGGTGAAAGAAGGTGCGGAAGTGACGGACCACAGGTTCTTCATCCGGGCCATCATCAGGCACTCGGACCTGATTACAAAGGTAAGTGTCGCGGGCCGTTTCTCCCTCAGAGCTCGTCCCTTGTGCCCTGGCCTTTCATTCACTGAGTGCCTGCTCTGTGCAGGGCCCTGGGCTGGCCACTGGGGACAGGAGGGCGCACTGTACCCAGGAGGCCACCTCTGTGATGCCCAGTCTGGGGGAAGATGGAGAGGGAGTGGCCAATGATTGTGTCCCGGGCTGGTGACACGTGGATCAGTTTCTCGTGTTACATGGATTTCTCTGTGATAGGAGGATTTAAGGATAGAAAAGTACTGGCTTGTTAAGGACTGACTGAGTGAATGAGTGATCGTTTTCCATTATTTCTTGCGTTTGTAAAAGTAACCCCTGTTTTTATTATGAAATTTCAAACAGCTTCAACAATTTTTCACTGTTTATTGCATTTGTAATCTGTGATGATATCATGAAACTCAAACAAATTTTCAGTTGAAAATTTCAAACTGAGCGTGATTTTCAAAAATCAAGTAAAAGAACCCAGAATCTTGCCACCCAGAGGTCAGCCCTATTGGCAACCCCCTCTAGACGTAACTCCATATTTAGAGTTGTGGGTACAACGTTCCAGACGGGAGCTCAGGGGCCAGATCATTTGCAGACTGCTGATTTCTACTAGACTGTCCTTTAGGTTTCTTGTCATGTGGGTGAGTAGTGATCCACAGTATCCTTTTGGGTATCTGTGTGATACTTCCTTTCGTGTATGTCCTGTGGGCATGTAATTTTTTAGGTAATTTTCTTTTATAGTGGACTTTTTTTAGAGCAATTTTAGGTTTACAAAGTACAGCATCCCCATGTGCTCCCTTCCCCGCACGCTGGCTCTCCCCTCGTTAGCAGCTTGCCTTCGATTTCTCACGGCACATGTGCGGGCATCTCAGCAGCTCCTGCAGCAGCGCCGCCCAGTGGAACTTTCTGTGAGGGCAGAAATGTTCTGTGTGTGCACCACTAAGCCACGTGTGGTTATTATTATTATTTTTTGGTAATATTTAATTGTGTTTTCAATGAAAGTTTACACAGCAGATTAGGTTCCCATTTGACAATTTCTACAAAATTGTTAAGTGACATTAGTTACATTTTTTACAACCTGTCAGCCTTCTCTTTAATTGCGTTCTGGTTGTTCCGTTTCCAGTGCTCTAGTTTCCCTGCCCCCTTGTCTTCTCATCTTTGCTTTACAGTAATTGTTGACCTTTGGTCTCATAGAGATGATTTTTTAATGGAGCACCATACTCACGGATAACACCCGTTATTTTGTGTGCCAATCTGTTATTTCGCTAAAAGGTGACCTCAGGGGATAGTTTCGGTTCAAGATTTAAAGAGTATCTCCAGGCAGTAGTCACAGGGGGTCCTCTAGTCCCGACTGGTCCAGTAAGTCTGGACTTTTTAAGAATTTGAGTCCTGTTCCATGCTTTTCTTCCATTCTATCAGGGTCCACCTATTGTGGCCCTGATCAGAATGGTCGGTAGCAGTAGACGGGCACCATCTAGTTGTTCCGGTCCACATGTGGTTGTTGAACACTTCAAGTATGGCTAGTGTGCCTAAGTGACCGACATTCTAATTTGATTAATTTTTTAATACAATTTATTTTTTAGAGCAGTTTTAGGATTATAGAAAGGTGGTGGAGAAAGTACAGAGAGCCCCCATGTGATTCCTTTCTCCCAAACCCCCTAAACTGTTTCTCCTGTTATTAACAGCTTGCATTCCTGTGGTATGTTGTTGCAGTTGATCAACTAATATTGATACGTTATGAACCAGAGTCCATAGTTTACATGAGGACTCACTCCTGGTGTTATGTAGTCAGTCCTGTGGGTTTGTTTGTTCATTGTGGTGAGTATATATATTGTCAAAAATTCGCCATTTCAACATTTTCACACGTACAATTACTTTCATCGTGTTGTTCAACTATCACCACTATCTGTTTCAAAATTTTTCATCACTCTTAACAGAAGCTCAGTGCCCCCCAAGCAATGACTCCCTTTTTCCCCAACCCTCCCACCCCTGGTAACCACTGATAGACCCTGGTCTGTACACACATGCCTATTCTAGATATCTCATATACAATATTTGTCCAGTCCTGTGGGTTTTGACAGATGCATAATGTCTGTGTCCACCATTACAGTATCATACAGGATAGTTTCACTGCCCTAAAATATATAATTTTTTTTTCCCACTAATCCCCCATTGATGGATGTTAAGTGAGTCTCAGTCTTTTGCTCCCTCAAACAACCAGACAGCCTTCTGCGTACCTTCATCTCTGCAAGCCGGGCTCTGTGGGTCTCGCTTGGCACACTTTTTGGAGGAGAGGAATGTTTTCCTCCCACTCTGCCTGTCTGAGGCCTCTGCCTCAGTGGCCACCCCCCTTCCTTGGCAGGAAGCGTCCTTCGAGTACCTGCAGAACGAGGGCGAGCGGCTGCTCCTGGAAGCCATGGACGAGCTGGAGGTGGCATTCAACAACACCAGCGTGCACACGGACTGCAACCACATCTTCCTCAACTTCGTGCCCACCGTCATCATGGACCCCTGCAAGGTCCTGCCTCCGGGGGATCTCACTGGGCTCTGGGCTAAGCCTTGCTGGGACCGATGGCTCTTCATGCCACGCGGGGCTGGGGTGTTGTCTCCTGGCACTCGAGACCTGAGTTCTAGGATGAACATGTGCGTGTTTGAACCTCAGTTGCTGAGGGAGGAGAATGAGCCTCCTGTCATTCAATTCTAGAGCCATATTTTAGCCACAACCCTTAACACTTGACCTGTTTTGATGGCCACCCTTCCATGGGCATGGTTCACTTTGAGGACAACACGGATACCAACAATGTCTTGCAAAATGAAATGTTGTCCTTTTCCTGGTTCCAGGCTCCGCTGGGGTTTTGCATGTGGGCAGGATAGGGAGTGAGAACCTGAGGTTTGCGGTTGAGCTGTTTGCTGTAGATTGGTTCTTCGTGGGCTGGCGGAGTTCTTTTACGGTGGTGATTCTGGGATGAAATAAGTCCTGGTACATCAGCATGGCACCTGCGAGGTGCAGAGGGTCCATGCAGATGCCACAACTCCACCAGTCTGCATGATTCCAGAAACAAAAATAATGCATAGGCTTGGGATGCCTGAGGGGGAGAAAGCTGGTGTGACATAGGAGAACTAGCTCTGTCCCTTACCAGCCTCAGTTTCCTCATTGTGAATGGGAGATCTGAATGCCAGCCTCTCTGGGTAATTATGAGGATGAAATGAGATAATGAACTTCAAATGCTTAGCACGCTGCCTTTGGTTGTTATTAGCTAATTGTTGGATACATGCTATGCCTCAGGCATTCTACATTCCCATCATCCTGTTATAATTAGCGCTAGAACTATTACAAGTGTGCATGGAATGGGCTCTGATATTGGAACTCCTGTGATCTGGGACAGATTGAGGAGTCGGTGCGCTCCATGGTCATGCGCTATGGCAGCCGGTTGTGGAAACTCCGAGTGCTACAGGCTGAGGTCAAGATCAACATCCGCCAGACCACCACCGGCGTGGCCTTTCCCATCCGCCTGTTCATCACCAACGAGTCGGGCTACTACCTGGACATCAGCCTCTACAGAGAAGTGACCGACTCCAGATCCGGAAACGTACGGCTGGGCTGGGCCATGAATGTTTTAATCAAAGCAGAGGCAGGCCACTTGGAAGATTGAGATATAGATTCAAACAATACTCAGTGGCTGTCTGGCTTTGCCATGCTGGGCTCGGGTAGCTCCTGAATTTTAGGATAAACGTGTTAGTTTCTGGATCCCAGTTGGTCAAGAAAGGAGAATGAATCCTTCAAGGTTTAATCAATTCTAGAACCATATTTGAGATAAGAAAAGAAGGCCTGGTGGCTCAGTGATTAAAACATTCGGCTGCTAACTGAAAGGTCAGCGGTTTGAACCCACCAGCCGCTTCACAGGAGACAGATGTACCAGTCTGCTTCCCTAAAGATTAGTGCTTTGGAAACCCTATGGGACAGTTCTGCTTTGTCCTGTAGGGTTGCTGTGAGTTGGAATTCATTCGACGGCAACAAGTTTGGTTTATTTGGGATAAGACATGGAATACCAGGGTTGCTTATAATACAGTCTCCAGATTGGTTCACATAGGAAAATAGATGTTTTCCCCAACCATGTTTTAGAACAAACTTTTGTAAAGTGAATCAAATATCTTATTGACTGTCGTTTTATAAATACGTAAGTACATATATATGTACACCAAACCCATTGCTGTGGAGTCGATTCTGACTCATAGTGACCCTATAGGGCAGAGTAGAACTGCCCCATAGTGTTTCCAAGGAGCGGCTGGTGGAGTTCAACAGCTGACCTTTTGCTTAGCAGCCAAGCTCTTAATTACTGTGCCACCAGGGCTCCGTATATATATATATATTTTAATTTTTAATTTTGAACTAATTTAAGACTCCCAAGAAGTTGCAGAAATAGAGGGAAAAAAAAAAAAAAGTACAGGAAGTTCCCACATACCCTTCACCCAGCTTCCCCCGATGGTAACATCTTATAAAACCAAGTACATTGTCAAAACCAGAACGTTGACATCGGTACACTACTATTAAGTTAAATACAAACCTTATTCAGATTTTGCCAGTTTTTATATGCACTCTTGTTTTTTTGCTTTTCTGTGTGTAATACTATGACTGTTATCTTTTTGGAGCTGTGTTTTCATATCCCCCACTGCACCTCCTTGCTCTGATTGCCCTGTGGCAGAGAGGAAAGTATTAGCTATCGTAAGCACTCTCTCCATTATATGACGTAACATGCTTTACTTCCCCCATTGCGTTTTCACTGAGGACCAGGTGGATATAAATGGGGAAGGGGCATGGTTGTGGGATACATGGCGACTGACCTCTCTCACCCTGTCTGTCTTTCTTTCTGATCCAGATCCTGTTTCATTCCTTTGGCAACAAACAAGGGCCCCAGCACGGGATGCTGATCAACACGCCCTACGTAACCAAGGACCTGCTGCAGGCCAAACGATTCCAGGCCCAGTCCCTGGGAACCACTTACGTGTACGACTTTCCAGAAATGTTTAGGCAGGCAAGTCCTGCGGCTCAGACGCGGCACCACACCCAAGTCCCCCAAGCAGACCCCGTCAGTACCAAGCCCCTCGTCCTTAGGAACTTTTCCAAAGACCCCCATCCAAAGAACAAGGTCTTCATGAAGAAAAAGAAATTAACATTGAGAATGACTTAGTAGAATTTTTTTCTAAAATAAATCTGATTTTATCCTAATGATAAAAGTGATATAATGTAGAAACTTTGAAAAATAAAGGAGAGTAGGAAGAAGGAGAAAGTGAGTCCCAATTCCATGTCCTAAAGACAAATTGCTGCATTTTGGTTTATTTCCTTCTGGTCTTGTTAATGTTCGTTTATGAAGTCCCTGCTACTTCCCAGGTACCATTCTAGGGATAGATATAGCATGAAGAGAAGGATGGGGCCACTGCCTTTGAGGAAGTTTTAGGCTATTTTTAAAAAGTAATGATTTTCTATGATTTTTTGATTATTAAAATGTACAATGGAAAATACAGAAAAGTAGGAATAAGAAAATAAAATGCCACCCACATGTAATTTACCCAGCAGTGATGACTGCAATAACATTTTTTAAACATAATATTTTATTGTGTTTTTGGCAAAGGTTTACACAGCAGTTTAGGTTCCCATTCAGCAATTTCTGCACAAATTGTTCAGTGACATTGGTTACACTCCACAGTGCGTGAACATTCTCATTATTTCTGTTCTGGTTATTCCGTTTTCATTAATCTAGTTTCCCTACCCTCTTGTGTTCTCATCTTTGTTTTAAAGTAATTGCTGACCGTTTGGCCTTATGTAGGTGTTTTTTTTAAAGGAGCACTTACGGGTGATATTCTTTATTTTGTGAGCCAATCTGTTATTTAGCTACAAGGTGACCTTGGGTTAGTTTCGGTTCCAGGTTTTTGAAGAGTATCTCAGGGCAATAGTAACAGTCACATTTTAATGCATTTCCTTTAAGTGTTTTTTCTATGCCTTTCTTTTTTTACATAGTACAACCTTTAAAGGAGACTGAATATGCTGCCGTTGGTGATGGGGATGGCTCTTTGAATCCCCTGCACTGGCTTGTGAAGGACATTCATGAAACAAACAAGGGTCTGGACTTTCCCCTGTAGGCAGCAAAGTATCACATTGCTTCAGGCATAGGAGACACAGAATCGTAGGAAAATCTTCTATTTAGAGTCACTCAGGCCAGGGTTTGAACTCTGGGTCTGTCCCTTGCTTCCTATGTGTCCCTGGTCAAGTGCCTTCACCTCTCTGGGCCTCAGTTTCCTCCTCTGTAAAATGGGGATGATAATAGTATTTACCTTGCAGAGTTGTTAAGAGGAACTGACATATTCAGTAGTTGCTTAATAAATTAAAACCATTATTAAGAATGTCATTGTTGTGCCCTTTTGCTTCTGACCTCAAGTGTCATAGAGTAAGAACCACAATGAACCAGCAAATCTGTCTCCTTTCTTTTAGATAAAGAAACAGAAGACTGCTATGCACAATTTTATCCCATAAATTTGAAAACTTAGATAAAATGGAACGTTTCCTAGAAAAATATATTTTATCAAAACTGACCCAAGAAGAAATGGAAAACTGGAATAGATTATAAGCATCAAAGAAACTGAATTAGTAGTTTAAAAAAATCTATCCAACAAAAATTGTCCCAGATGGTTATAGAGTAGTTTTTATCAGACTTTCTAGGGACAGATAATTCCCATCTTCTATACCTTGTATAGAGTGTACAAAAAAAGGAATGTTTCTTAACTCATTTTATCAGGTTAGAATTACCTTAATTTTAATCCCAGACAAGGAAAATAGGAGAAGAGGAAATTATCTCATTTATGAACATGGACACACAAAAATCCTAAGTAAAATATTAGAAATAAAATTCAGTAATGTGTTAAAAAAAAAATTGACCGGTTAGGATCTATCCTGCAATAGCTTATGTGATTTGATACTAGGAAGTCTATTAATTCCATTTGCAATATTGGTAGATTAAGAAGAAACTTAAATTTTTCAATAGATGCAGAAAAAGTATTTGATAAAATGACATCTATTCATAATATAACTTTTAATAAATGAGAAATAGAAAGAAATTTATTTATCCTGCTAAAAATATTGACCTAGAATTAATATCACCTACTTCTACTCTGACACACATGGGATTGCTATGAGTCGGAATCGACTTGATGGCAACTGTCTTTTTTTCTTTTAATGGTGAGATGTTAGACGTATTCTCTGTAAAGACAGGTACAGAACAGAGATACCTGTTATCACCACTTCTCTTAATACTATTTACAATGTCAATGTCAACCCCAATGTTACGTAGGAGGAAGTCAAACAAAAAACATACATGGCCTTTACGGAGGAAATTTTAAAACATTATTAAAAGACTCTTAACCTAAATAAAGAGAGCTATATCGTACTTATGAATAATGAGAAGATTTAATATTGTAGAAATGTCAGTTCTGGCCAAATTAGTAAGTGCAGTACAATTCCAATTAAAATCTCAGCAGAGTTTTTTTTGGTGAAACTTAAAAAGCTGGCCCTGTAATTCATATGGAATAGCAAAAGCCCCCATGAATAGCTAAAACAATTTTGAAAAACAACAATGTCAGGAGGACTCACCTTAGCAGATATCGTGACTTATTTTACAGCGGCAATAATTCAGACAATGTAGTATTACTGAGGCATCAGTGGTAGAACTCTCGCCTTTCATGAGGGAGACCCAGGGTTGACCTCCAGCCACTGCACCTCATGTGCAGCCGCCACCCATCTGTCAGTGGAGGCTTGTGTGTTGCTATGATGCTGAACAGTTTTCAGCAGAGCTTCCACACTAAGACAGACTAGGAAGAGAGGCCTGGTAATCTACTTGTGAACATCAGTCAATGAAAACCCGACAGATCACAGTGATCTTATCTGCAGCTGATCACGGGAACAGCGCAGGATTGGACAGCATTTTTTGTTGTGCGTTGGGTTACCATGAGGCGGGAACAGAACAGAGAGCCTAGAATCAGACCTACTTATAAACAGAACCTTGATAGAATGCAGAGGTGGGATCGCAAATCAGGGCAATGGACTCTTCAGTCAAAGGCACAGGGTAATTGCTTATCTAATGCAAAGGGGAGAAGACAGCCCCAGATTAGGAGAATATGTTGCACTGCCTATAACCAGCAAGTGATGAGAATATCTACAGAGCACTTATAAATCAATTAGGAGAAACAAAACAAAACAAAAAAAACCCAAATTCTGAAAAATATGAGCAGATAAACAGGAATTTCACCAAAAAAAGAAGTTCATGTGGTCAATAAACATATTAAAAGTTGCTCACCTCACTAATAAAGTACAGACCAATACCACTAATACCAATAATTTTGCACTCAGCAGATGGGTCACGTTTTAAAATTTGACAGAACTAAGTGTGAGCAAGTGTATATGGTGGGCCTATTTGTTGTTGTCAGTTGCTGTTGAGTCAGTTCCAACTCATGGTGACCCCATCCACGTGTGCAGAGTAGAACTGTGCTCCTTAGGGTTTTCAAGGCTGTGACCCTTTGGAGGCAGATCGCCAGGACTCACTTCTGAGGCGCTTCTGGGTAGGTTTGAACCGCCAACCTTTTAGTTAGTAGTCCAGTGCTTAACCACTGGTGGGCATATAGAGGGGTACAAAAAAATTGAGAACAATTTGATAATATCAAGTAAAGTTGAAACTTCACATCCTCTATGGCCCAGCATTTCCACTCCTGGTGAAATTCTAAGCCATGTTTATAATAAGACACCATAATGTTCATTACAGCATATTGGTAATACCGTAGAATTGGAAGCAACCTAAATGTTACTAAAATAGGGTTCAGAGGACTCCCTGAGACTATCGCCCTGAGATACTCTCTAAACCTAGAACCGAGCCTGTCCCCTGAGATCACCTTTTAGTGAAATAGCAGAGTGGCACACAAAATGAAGGATATCACCGGAAGACTGGTGCCCTCCTTAACCATTAGTATGAGACCAAGAGGCCAACAATTACATGAAAGCAAAGATGAGAAGTTAAGGAGGCAGGGAAACTAGAGGACTGAGTACTGGCAAGGGAACAGACTAAACACAAAGAGAATGTTGACACATTGTGATAAATGTAACTAATGTCACTAAACAATTTGTGTGGAAATTGTCAAAACCTAACTTGCTGTGTAAACTTTCACCAAAATCTCAGTATTATTTAAAGAAATAGAGTTATAAATCAGTGGAGCCCTGGTGGCACTGTGGTTAAGAGTTCAGCTGCTAACCCAAAGGTCAGCAGTCCAAATCCACCAGCCGATCCGTGGAAACCCTATGGGGCAGTTCTGCTTTATCCTGTAGGGTCCCTGTGAGTTGCAATTGACTCAACCGCAATGGGTTTTTTGTAAATGAAGAGTGATATAGTCAGACTGTGGAAAAAATAAAAAGCATGCAAAATGAAGGAACCAGAGCTAAATTTATCAATGTGGATAAATCTTTCAAACATAACAGAGTATAGAAAAAGCAAATTGCAGAAGGATATGTCTAGTGTGATACCATTTAAAGTTTAGGTCATTCAAAATAATACTGCATCCATTAAACGTATGCATAGGAGTCCCTGGGTGGCATAAATGATTAAATGCTTGACTGCTAACTGAAGGGTTGGCTGTTTGAACTCACCCAGAGGTGCCTTGGAAGACAAGCCTGGTTATCTGCTTCTGAAAGGTCACAGCCATTGAAAACCCTGTGGAGCAGTTCTACTCTGCACACATGGGGTCACCGTGAGTCGGAATTGACTCAACGGCTACTAACAACAAATGCATGCGTACGCGGTGAACTGGAAATATAAGAGCATGTGCAGGACTAATAGACACTAAATTCCAGATAATGGCTACCTTGGGGTTGGTGGTGGTGGAGGGGACAGGAATGGGATGTAGACAGGTACACCAGGGCCGTCAACTGCATCTTTCAGGTCTTATTTCTTTAAAGAATCTTAAGCAGCTATGGAAAAATTAAGATTTACCAAAGCCGCAAGATGGGTGCCTCGATGTTTATTACTCTACATATTTTTCTGTATGCTTTAAATATATCGTGATTTAAAAGAGAGAAAGCCACCAGACTGAATCCAGTACAGCTAGATGGTGCCCAGCTACCACCACCGACTGCTCTGACCGGGATCACAACAGAGGGTCCCGGACAGAGCTGGAGAAAAATGTAGAACAAAATTCTAACTCACAAAAAAAGACCAGACTTACTGGCCTAACAGACTGGAGAAACCCCGAGAGTACGGCCCCTGGACACTGTTTTAGCTCAGTAATGAAGTCACTCCTGAAGTTCACCCTTCAGCCAAAGATTAGACAGACCCATAAAACAAAACAAGACTAATGGAGCACAACAGTCCAGGGACAAGGACTAGAAGGCAGGAGGGGACAGGAAAGCTGGTAATAGGGAACCCAAGATTGAGAAGGGACAGTGTTGACATGTCGTGGGGTTGGTAACCAATGTCATAAAACAGTATGGATACTGTTTAATGAGAAACTATTTGTTCTGTAAACCTTCATCTAAAGTACAATAAAAAATTTTTTTTTTTAAATAATATGAAAAAAAAACAGAGAAAGAACTAGAAAATTCACATCAGAATCCCGACAGGTCACCTAAGTCATCTCCATCTGGGAAGGACAGTATGTTCCCCCTGATGTCTTCAAGCTCTTCTCTTTCCTCCCTTCCTCCCAGGCACTCTTTAAACTCTGGGGCTGCCCGGAGATATACCCCAAAGACATCCTGACGTACACTGAGCTGGTGCTGGACTCGCAGGGGCATCTGGTAGAGATGAACCGACTTCCGGGAGGAAATGAGGTGGGAGCCCAGGGAAGCCCAGCTCCAGGTGTGAATCACCCTTTACAAAAACGTCCCTTGAAGAAACACACCCGTTTTCCTTGTGTGCTCCTTTTTTGCCAGGTGGGCATGGTGGCCTTCAAAATGCGGTTTAAGACCCGAGAATATCCGGAAGGGCGGGACGTGATTGTCATCGGCAATGACATCACATTCCGCATCGGGTCCTTTGGCCCCGGAGAAGACCTTCTGTATCTGCGGGCGTCTGAGATGGCCCGGGCAGAGGGCATCCCCAAAATCTACCTCGCAGCCAACAGTGGGGCCCGCATCGGCCTCGCAGAGGAGATCAAGCACATGTTCCAGGTGGCTTGGGTGGACCCCAAAGACCCGCACAAAGTAGGTTCCGAAACTGATGTGGGACTGTGGTTCTGCTCAGCTAGCATTGCATTCTCATCAGGGTGATAGCAACCCTGAGGGGGTGAGACACATCCTTCTCTTTTTACGTGTGTTATTGTTAGCTGCAGTTGAGTTACCCCCAACTTACGGCAACCCCGTATACAATGGAACAAAACACTGCCTGGTCCTTTGCCATCTCCATGATCAGTTGCAGATTGGACCACTGTGATCCGTAGGGTTTCCACTGGCTGATTTTCAGAAGTAGGTTGCCAGGGCTTTATTCCTAGTCTGTCTTCATCTGGAAGCTCCACTGAAACCCTTCATGTATAAAGCACAGATGTACATATAGTCCATAATTAGACATACAGTATATCTGTGTCATTAAAACTTCATGGGTGTGGTGGTTAGGAAAAAATGCCCACAAAAGCTCCTTGCGGGGAGGGATGTAATAATGAAAAAAGGCGGAGAAACACTGAATCAAAGGGATCAGGAAAAGCGTGAGGTTGTGTTGTAAGGATGAGTGAAATATGTGATTAACAGGGCATTAGACAAAAAAAAACCCAAAACAGTTGCCATGAAGTTGATTCGGATTCATGGCAACCCCATGTATATCAGAGTAGAACTGGGCTTCATAGGGTTTTTAATGGCTGATCTTTTGGAAGTGGATCACCAGGCCTTTCTTCCGAAGCACCTCTGAGTGGACTTAAATCTCCAACCTTTCAGTTAGCAGTCAAGGGCTCAACCATTTGCACCACAGGGACTCCAACATGTTATTAACATGATGTTATTAGCATGATAATTTTTCCCCTACAATGCTGACGGAGCCCTGGTGGTGCAGTGGTTAAGCATTCAGCTGCTAACCAAAAGGTCAGCAGTTCAAATCCACCAGCCGCTCCTTGGAAACCCTATGGAGCAGTTCTACTCTAGCGTATAGGGTCGGAATCGACTCACGGCAACAGGTTTGTTTGTTTTTTTGGTTTGACAGTGCTGACAGTAAAACAAAAACAAACAAACAAAAACAACAGTGGCTAATGAGGGCAGGGAACTGAATTCATAGTCTCATTAAAGTATATTTTTTAAGGGATTTAAATACCTGTACCTGACCCCACAAGACTACACCAAGATCAGCCCCCTGAACTCTGTCCACTGTAAACACATCGAGGAAGGAGGAGAATCCAGGTAAATCATTTATTGTTGTTGTTGGTTGCTGTTGAGTTGGCTCATTGGCTCATGGCAACCCCATGTACAACAGAATGAAACATTGCTCGGCCCTGCACCATCTTCACGATCGTTGGCGTATTCAAGTCCATTGTTGCAACAACTGTGTAGTTTGAGTATCCTCCAACCTGGAGGGCTCACCTTCCAGGGCTATATCAGACAATATTCTGTTGTGATTGATTGTGAACTAAATATGCCCCATCTGCAGACCAAATGCGATTCCAGATTGCTCTTGGAGGAATGGGGGGTGACGGGGGGTGACATTTCACTAATGCAGCCTCCCAGCAGGCAGATATCTTTGGTTTTGGGGAATGAAATCGTTGATACTGTACTTGCCCTTTTTAAAGCTTCAAGTCTAGTCGTGAGGGTCCCTCGACTCCTGCTTTCGTTTCATCCCTGGCTGCTTTCCCCCCCTTTCAAATCCCTCCTGTCGTGAGTCCTTGAGAAATTTGTCAGCCTTGGATGTTTCTGAGCTAGAGCTTGGATTTTAACCTGTGTTTGTTTCTTGAAGATACATGGTCACAGACATCATTGGGAAGGATGATGGCCTGGGTGTGGAGAATCTCAGGGGCTCGGGCACAATTGCTGGGGAGTCCTCTCGGGCCTACGAGGAGATCGTTACCATCAGCTTGGTGAGTCTCCTCTTTTCTTTCTTTTTTCAACTTTTTATTATGGAAACTTTTAAATAGTCACAAAAGTAAAATTGATAATGAGCCCCCACGTGCCCAGCACCCAGCTTCAACAATTACTGACGTGCAGCCATTCTTGTTTCCCGCCCTGTTTACGTAGCCACCATACTATCAGCATAGGCAACAAAATCAACAGGAATTTTTTTTTTTTTTAACAGTAATTCTTTAATATCATTGTGACCCAGTTCACATTCAGTTTTAATGGTTGTCTCAAAAATATCTTTTTATAGTTGGTTTGTTTGAACCAGGGTCCAGTCGCCTCTTATTTTAAAGGCACTGAGTGTTTAGAAGAACTTTTGTCTGATTTTACCTGCCGTAAAATGAGTATCCACCACCCCCTCCTGTGGCCTTCCCGAAAATATTTTCTGTTTTTATTATTATTATTACTAGTAGTAATAATACCAAAACAAAAAAAAAAACCCATTGCCGTCAGTTGATTCTGACTCATAACAACTCTATAGGACAGAGTAGACCTGCCCCATAGTTTCCAAGGCTGTAATCTTTATGGAAGCAGACTGCTACATCCTTCTCCTGAGGAGCGGCTGGTGGGTTTGAACCAGTGACCTTTCAGTTAGCAGCCGAGTACTTTAATTAGTAGGAGTAATAGTACTCTTTAATGGTGAACCGTCGTTCAAGCCTGATCTTTACACGTGGTGTTGGATCTTCAGTTTCCAAGGTGGAAAAATGCTGGCTATGAGCATCTTTCTCAGGCTTGTTTCCTAGATGTTTATTTATTTTTTAATATATAACTTTTTATTTGAGTCGTGAAATAGTACAGAGAGCCCCTGTGTACTCCTTACCCAGCTTCCTGCAATGATAGTGTCTTTGTAGCTATGGTACGTTGTCAAAACCAGGAAATTAACTTTGGCGCAATATTATTAACTTGGTACAGGTTCATCTGGAATTTACCCCTTTTACATGCACTCGTAGACAGCCTTCTGGTTGTGCAGGAGGCTGCAAAGGCTCATGAATGGCAGAGCTCAAAAGTGCTGCACGCAAGCCTCTTGAAGCAAGAGTAAGAATTTCCAGGGCCTGCTGTTTGTCTTAACTGCGTCATCTCAGTTAACTATCAGTCACCTCCTTTCTGGACAGGAAGCCAAGATCCAACTGCTGGCCAAAAGAACAGGCTTTTTGTCTCTACCGTTTGGCCCCAAATCAGGTTGCCAGTGGCCAAGATGTAACTTCCATTTGTGCCCAGCAGGTTCCTGGGTTCTCCTGGCTCTGGGGGGTGGAGCACTGTTAGCAATTCAGAAGGGGTCCTGTCTTTGCAGGTGACCTGCCGAGCCCTGGGCATTGGGGCCTACTTGGTGAGGCTGGGCCAGCGTGTGATCCAGGTGGAAAACTCCCACATCATCCTGACGGGAGCAGGGGCTCTCAACAAGGTGACCCAGAGGGCCCTTTGGGGAGCAGAAGTGCAGGCAGTGGGGGATCATTTTAACATTGTCACCTAATGGAGCATATTTTTTTCCATATGAAACCAGTTTCATTCCTAGTGATGTGAGAGCTGTTTTTCCAATTGGCAGTTGTCTGGGCCCCTTCTGAGGCAACATAGCGTATTTATTAAACTTCCACTTCACGGAGGCGTGGTGGGAGGGGCTGTTGGGATGTGCAGAGAGGAGTGAGACCCGTGGTTCTTCGCAGCAGCCTGACAGGAGGCGAGATAGGAACGTACACAGATAGCTGAAGTGCCAGAGCAGGGGTTCGCAAACTGGAGCCCCCATCTGCATCCCCTGGAGGGTTCGTTAAACCTGGGATCCTTGGACCCCACCTCCGGGGGTTCTTATGCTTCAGATCTGGGCTAAGGCCTGAGAATTTGCATTTCTAATGTCATTCCTAGGTGGTGCTGATGCTGCTGGTTCAGGGACTTTACTTTGGGAACCTTTTAGCAGCCACTGAAAATGTAGGCTTTGTAGCAACGTGGAAAATGTTTTAATACAGTAAAAAAAAAAAAAAAAGAACAGAATAGCAAACCGCACAATCACTGTGATTCTAACCGTGGAAAGACAGCAGACAGGAGTGCAGGACCCAAATTATAATAGGAGCAAAACTACTGGTGATTCTTTTTTCCTCCTCTTTTCCTAATGTTCTGTAATGTGTAGTGCCACTTTAATAATTTTTTAAAATGTCAGTAATACAAAGAGTTAGTTTCACCAGAAAAGCCTAACGTTTTTTTTTTGGCTCAAATTTCCCCTCTCTCCCTGTTTCTCTTAAGAGAGTTTTGCAACTTTGCAACAGAATTTTTCCCAGCGCTGTCTTGAAACACTAAGAAGGGTTTTGCTTTTGACATGCCAAAGTAACCAGCTGGATTAAACCAAAAACCAAATCAAACCTGTTGCTGTTGAGTTGATTCCCATTCACAGTGACCCTATAGGACAGGGTAGAACTGCCCCATAGGGTTTCCAAGTAGTGGCTGGTAGATTCGAACTGCCAGCCTTTTGGTTAGCAGCCATAGGTCTTAACCACTGCACCACCAGGGTTTCCTGGATTACTGGTTCCCAAATTGGGCTACATATTGGAACTACCTAGGGGAACTAAAAACAAAAATCCTGATTCCTGGGTCTCAGTCCCTAAAATTCTGATGTACTTGATCTGGGTCAGGATTTCCGAAAGCACCCAGGTAGTTTTAATGTACAGCCAAGGTTGAAAGCCACTGAGCAAGATGATTTCCAGACAGGTGGAAGGGCCATGGGCTCAGGTGGACTCTCCACCCAGGACTCCGCTAACCATGTTGTGTCAAAGCAGGTCCTGGGAAGAGAGGTTTACACATCCAACAACCAATTGGGCGGTGTGCAGATCATGTGTTACAATGGCGTCTCTCACATCACTGTGCCTGACGATTTTGAGGGGGTTTATACTATCCTGGAGTGGCTGTCCTATATGCCAAAGGTAAGTATCCTCCCCTACAGCTTAGAGCTGGAAGACACTGTTATCAGGACCAAACCAGCTCATTTGCTAATTGTATCCCCATCACCTGCTGGGTGATGTGGGAGGGTGGGAAGCAGGGAGCACTGCAAGCATGGCCTGGGTTAACTTTTCTTTACTCCTCTCTCCTTCTCTCCCTGATTTCCAGCCCTGTACTGACTGCTCTTTGCTCTTTTGGTGGCACTAATGCCATCTGCAGTGATGTTATCCTTTAGAAAGGGGTGACCTTGACTCCCAGCAAAAGAGACAGCATTAGACAAAGAGAAGCCATGTGCTTTGCAGTCAGTCTGGATTCGATTCCTGGCTTCCTCCTTAGTAGCAACATGATCCTGGGACAGTGTCTTTATCTCTCTGAGCCTCAATTTCCTTATCTATGAAAGAGGGGCATTAATAGCACCCACCCTATGGTGTTATCATGATGATTAAATGAGATGATGTTCAGAGCCCAGCAGTTAGTAGGCCTTCACCAAATATTGCATATGATGTTGATGATTAGCTAGTTCAGGTTGGACTTACGTTGACTGGGCAGATGTTTGTGTCTCAGTTTTCTCGACTGTGATGGGGGATGCTGTTTGCCTGGCTCACAGGGGACCTGCTGAGCAGCAGCCTGAAAAGAAGATAATAGTAGACCTGGTTCTTGGTTACTGTAACATTCTGTACAAATAAGTGAGGTTGTTATTCTTCATTATAATTATTTCCAAGGTTGGTTTCTAGAGTTTAGCTTACCGTAGACCTTCTGCCAAGAACTCCAGTTTCAATATTGCAGATATTTATTCCTAAGTGTTCTTTTCTCCCACTCGGGAAGCTTTCCCACTGCTCATTTTACTAACTCCTGCCACTCTCTAAAATGAATTTTTCCTCTCTCCTGGCTTTCTATAGCAGTAGCAGCCCCTTCCTGCCTTTGTTTCACTTCCCAGAGTCATTAAATCCATCTGAACCCTGAAGTACACACAAGACTCCATAAACTAGATTTCAAAAGACTCTATGGGATGGCTAATCCTTGTCTGACATTTTCAACCAAACCAGAAGCCCTAGAGAAGGGGTTATTGCTACATACCCAGGAATAATCATAGCCAGAGGAAGAAAGAGTATAGGACATATCACTGGTGTTATTGACAAGCATCAGAGACTGAGTTGAGGACCTGTTTTCTTTTCTAGGATAATCATAGCCCAGTCCCTATCATCACTCCCACTGACCCCACTGACAGAGAAATTGAATTCTACCCATCCAGAGCTCCTTATGACCCCCGGTGGATGCTTGCAGGAAGGCCTCACCCAAGTAAGTCCTAAAGCGTTCTGCCTGAGACCTGGGTCTCAAGGTTCCTTTTCTGGGCCTGGGATAAAGGAGCACTTAGGAGACACGTTGATATTTCGTCAGATATCCCAGAGTAGCACACGTTAGATCAAATGCAGGGGGAGTTGAAATTTTACTCTGTGCTTCTCTTGAGCCATGAACCAAGAAGGTATGAAAACAGCCTCCGGTTTCTTGAGCTAATGGATGGAGGTGGGGTACAACAGAGCCCGGGGCTCCCCAGACTGCCCCGTGGTCCCGCTGATATGAGATTTGGTGCTGAAACCTCAAAATTTCAGAGTTTCAAAGAGAAGACTTCTCTTATTTGGCTAAACCTTTATAAGAAGGGAATGCTCTGTGAGTTTACCCAGGATGGGCAGCTTAGCCTCTTCTTCTATGCATGAGCACACACACACACACACACACAGATGCACACACGTACGTGCACATATACAAGGTGCACACTCACACAAGGCGCATACCAATGCACACATGTACACACACATACACACAGGTGCACACACACATACGAGGCGCACACATGCACGCAGGCGCATACACATCCTTTCTGTCTTTGAAAGGGGAGGGTTTGTCTCCCAGAGGTATATCATTTCATTCTGAGCAACCAGAACAGAACAGGAAAGCTGAGCTAGCCCGTCACCATAATCCCCGTCTATAATTTCACATGCTGCTCCTTGAAGAACTCGGCCTGCTTGTCCAGCTGCAGGGCAGGAGTGGTGACCCCACCCCACCCAGCAGCATCCTCAGGAGCCCGCGAGATTCCCTCACAAAGGAAGTCCCGTGGCTCCTTTCTCGCTCTTTCTGCAGTGTGTTTCTCCCTCTTTCCGTTTCTCTTGGGCTTTCTCTTCTGTAAGCACTGAGAGGACTCTGTCCTGGTTAAAAACAGTGGACTGCTTACTGGCAGCTCAGACAGGCGGCAGATAGCACAGTCGGAACCTGCAGTTCTCAGCCACCCGGCCTCCCACGTCTGCAACTCGACACCCCTCGAGCTGCCTGCTCCTCTGTCCTCGTCAGACTGCATCATTTACACCGGGGTGTGAGCTTAAGTCACCTCGTCCTACATCTCTATCAATTCTCTCTGTCTGGGAAATTAAAGACTTTCTTCCCAGTTGTTTTAGTTAGATAGTGCTTCTGTAACACATATACCACAAGTGGGTGTCTTTAAAGAATAGACATTTATTTTCTCACAGTTCTGGGGGCTGAAAGTTCAAATCAGGGTCTTGGCCATGTCAACACGATTCCTGCCTTGTTGGTAGCCCCAGGCCTTCCTTGGTCCTTGGCAAGCCTCACATGGCATCTGTTCTCCCCAGTATGTGCCCAGTCTGTGTCTCATCTGCTGTTTTTATAACTCAGCAGTGAATAGGTTTGCGACACACCTTGCATTGGTATGGCCTCATCAACATAACAAAGAAACCCCTATTTCCAAACATCCACAGGTATAACCCCTTGCAGGCGAGTCGATTCCAGCTCATAGTGACCCTGTAGAACAGAGTAGAACTACCCCATAGGGTTTCCAAGGCTGTAAATCTTTACGGAAGCAGACTGCCACATCTTTCTACTGCGGAGTGGCTGGTGAGTTCGAACTACTGACCTTTTGGTTAGCAGTTGAATGCTTTAACCACAGCACCACTAGGGCTTCTTATCCACATGTATAGGATCCCAGCACATTTTGGGGGGGCACTATTAAATCCATCACGCCAATTAAGTGGTTGTTAAGCTGTAGCCAGCAGTTAGCAGGGCGAGGATGAGTTTCTTGGGACAGGCAGGCCCTCCTGAAATCCCACCTTATGGGAAACATGTATCTAGCTCTCCTTGACTCTCGGGAAGAGAAGGCAAGACTGAGCTTGGGGTCTCAGCATGCTGGGCATCATCAGGGAGGTGGTGGCAGGCTGGTGTTCCATGTGGATTGAATTCCTGATTTGGTGTATTTTTTTTTGCCAGGGGTGGGGGTGGCTGTATAGTCTTAGGTATAATCCAGGTAAAGGTACCTGGGCTATCTGGTTATGGTCAGGCTGCCCTTAAAGAGATTGCAGAGCCATCTGGGGCCCCATGGCTGACCTTCTGTCTCCTGCCTACAGCTCAGAAGGGGGCCTGGCAGAGTGGCTTCTTCGACCAGGGCAGTTTCAGGGAGATCATGGCGCCCTGGGCCCAGACCGTGGTGACGGGACGAGCAAGGTAACCCTGGGACGGGAGCAGGTTGCGCACACCTGGCCTCACCAGGCATTCAGACTCCCAGGTGTTAGGCCAGGTGGCTCCTCCCTCCCAAAGGGCCCCAAGAAACACTTTCTCCTTGGCCCCAGGATGTTATGAACGCAGAACAAACTGGAGAAATGGTTATCTGGATGAGAAGGTCTTCATAAAGTCCAGCCTCCTACTGGGAGCCAGGACCCCTGCCCCTATGTTAGCCCCCAGGGGCAGGGCTGCCTGGTCATGAGGGGCCACGGACCCCTTTGGGAATCAGAGGAAGTCCCTGAGTGCTCCCCCCAGAAAATTGCCCAGACACTCAAAACCATGAAGCCCATTTCAGGGGGGCCTCAGACAGGAACCCCTGCTGCACACCGTCACTGGCGGAAGGCTTGGATGCTGTCGGAGCTGAGCGGCTCACTCCTCGGTGGTGTAGCCCTCATCCCTCTGCATATCACCAAAAGTTCCTACCTATATTGAACCCACTCGGGTTCCTGGTACGATGTAGAAGCCACAAGTCCAGGCTCTGGAATCAGACCCGAGGTCAAGCCTCAGCTCTGTCGCTCACCTCTGAGCCTCCACATCCTCATCTATAAAATGGGGATAATAATTTTACCCCAAAGGATTGTTGTGATGGTTAGAGACGATAATCTATGTTAATAGCTTAAAATACCATAAATGGTCAAGTGTTTGCTGCTGCTATTACATTATTATTGTTATTGACCTAAGCATAATCTTGGTACTAAGCATAGTCTTGGTACTTAGTCGTTTCTCAATAAGTGTTTATTTCAAAAACTTTTTTTTTTTAAACCTGAGAGTATATCTCTGCCTGCTTCCATGTGGGAGCTCTTCCTGTGTGTGGAGACGGTTCTCACAGCATCTCCCTCGTAGGGTCACCTGTGACTAGATGAGACGGAATGCGGTGTCATACAGGGGGCCGGCCAGTATCATGTGGCAGCTGTCAGTGAGCCGTCACATCCCCTGAGCCAAGTCTTCTTTAGGCTAAACATCCCTTCCCCCTTTCCAGATGTGACTTGGGGTCTAGACCTGCCCTGCCGAATATGGTAGCAGCCACTAGCTACATGTATGACAACTTAAATTGAAATTAATTAAAATTAAATGGGATTGTGTATCCAGTTCCTCAGTCTCACCTGCCACGTTTCACGGGCTCAGTGGCCCATGTGGCTCGTGGCTGCCACCTTGGACGGTGAAGATACAGAGCGTGGCCGTCGTCGAGAAGGTTCTAGTGGGCAGTGCTGCTGTAGGTCCTGCACTGCCCTGACCCTCCCCCACTGCTGTTGTCCCCATAGGGAAGGGTTCAGATAGGACCTTTCCCGTCACCCAGGTTAGGAGGCTCTTATCGCTTTGGGTCTTTTTCTTTGCCTCCCAATAAAATAATCCACCAGCTTAAAACAGCATCCTCCCCCACATGCCTTCATCCCAGCCGCTAATGCCCACAGCCCAGAAACACCGCAGAGTGTCAGCTGGGGCTGGGTGGACCCAAACGCCCCCAGGGTCTCTCCCCCTGGCGTGCTGCTGGGTGCCTGCTAACCTGTGCTCCATCTTCCAGGCTGGGGGGCATCCCTGTTGGAGTGATCGCTGTGGAGACGCGGACTGTAGAGGCAGTGGTCCCTGCGGACCCTGCCAACCTGGACTCCGAAGCCAAGGTGAGGGGTGGGAATTGTGCTGCTGTGTCCACCAGGACTTACTCTAAAAGAGTCCTTCCAGTTCAGAGGTGGGGAGTCAGAGCACTTGGCGCAGCCCCTGGCCCTGGTGGGGGGCTCAGTGCTGGTCCTCTGGTGTTCTATGGGATGCATCAAGTCCTGCGCTGTCTTCCCTTCTTCCTCAGAGGAGCCCCCTTGGATCCCTGGGTGGTGCAAACAGTTAACACACTCGGCTGCTAACCTAAAGGTTAGAGGTTCGAGTCCACTCACAGGTACCTTGGAAGAAAGGCCTGGTGACCTCCTTCTGAAAGATCAGCCAGTGAAAACCCTATGGAGCACATTCTACCCTGACACATGTACAGTTGCCATGAGTCAGAATCGACTCAACAGCACTCGGTTTTTAGGAGCCCCTCCCACCCTTCGTCTGCCCTTGCTGCTGTTTCTAGGCCATGGCGCATATGGAGGGGCTTGGAAGCCAGAGGCTGCATTCTTGCACCAGCTTTGCTACTGAATCCTTGCGGCTTCCTAGCCTGGCTCCTCCCTGACCTCGATTCTCCCCTCTAAACAGGGCCACAGGAACCTCCAGGGCTACAGAGGGAGGGTCATGGGGGGTCCTCAGACTTTGCAAAGTGACCCAGAGGGCCCTCCCTTTGAGCCCCACCTCCAGGGTTGGTGCCGACGCAGACAGGTGTCCGTGCTCCGGTGTGAGGCTCTGGTGCTGTCCCTGTGTCTCTGGCCACTGCTCCACGGAAGAGCCTGACCCCCGGCTCTTATTTTAGATCATCCAGCAGGCAGGCCAGGTGTGGTTCCCAGACTCAGCCTATAAGACGGCCCAGGCCATCAAGGATTTCAACCGGGAGAAGCTGCCCCTGATGATCTTTGCCAACTGGAGGGGGTTCTCCGGTGGCATGAAAGGTAAGGCCATCTCCTAAGGTTGCCCCAAAGCCAGAGTTGGACCCAGGGCAGCCACCTCGGGGTGACAGTAACTGTTTTCCTGCGCGTGGCCTCATTGCCATCCCAGCAGCCCTGAGGTCAGGAGGCACTTCGGGTAACGCCCCATTTTATGATGAGGAACTGAGGCTTGGAGAAAATGTGTGGCTTGCCAGAGGTCCCACCATGAGTGGCAGAGCAGTGAGGGGCCTGGACACCTTCCTACCCTGTTCTTCGGTGCTGAGTGACCTGGGCATTCACTTCCCTCTTGGTAGAATGAGGAGACTGTGTGTCTTCTCTGCCCTCCTGTCGGGCTGCTGTGAGCCTCAAGTGAGCTTGTCGTTGTTAGGTGCCATCGAGTCTTCTGACTCATAGCAACCCCATGTGACAGAGAATTGCCCCATAGAGCTTTCTAGGTTGTAATCTTTATGGGAATAGATAGGCCTTTCTTCCGAAGTGCCACTGGGTAGGTTTGAACCGACCTTTTGGTACACAGCTGAGTGCTTAATCACTGTGCCACTAGGGCTTCTTCAAGTGACCCTGCAGCTGTGAAAATGCTTTTAACCACCAAGGACATTTTGCAATACAGTGGCATTTGGCGTGGTTTGGAAAAAAAGAGCTGGATTGGGAGGCAGGCAGATGTAGGGTACATCCTTGCCAGCTGGGTGACCTCTGTGAGCCTCAGTTTCCCTCCTTGATTTATGAAGGGGGATAAGAATAGGACGAACCTCAGAGGGCTGAGGTGGGGATACAATGAGCTGATCACTTAACGTGCTCACTGAGGGCCTGGCATTCAGTGTTAGCTCTCTCGATGTGATCCTTATTGATGTATTGTATCCTTCAGTTTGCCCTGGACTACTAACCTAAAGGTTGCAGGTTTGAACCCATCCAGTGGTGCCATGGAAGAAAGGCCTGGTGATCTGCTTCCATAAAAATTATAGCCAAGAAAACTCTGTGAGGCAGCTCTGCTCTGTAACACATGGGGTCGCCTGTGAGTCAGAATCGACTTGATGACAACGGGTTTGGGTTGTTGGTTTGGCCACCACATAGGGTGGCCAGGATCTTGGAGGGACACATCTTGGTGGAAGGAAGGGCCATGCCCTTATCAGCAGGGGAAGGGCCAGTGTATTGTTGGGATGGGTTCTGGACGCTATAAGTGATGGGACGGTGCAGGGAGCAGTAACAGTGAGGCTGTCTGGGAACCAGAGCTAGAAGTAATCTCGGAGATGGTTTGATCCCTACTGTTCCTACAGAGGAGGAAACTGACACCCAGGCAGGGTGAGTGACTTGTCCAAGATCACACGGCCACATAGGGAGCAATCTGTGCCTAGACTAGCCTCCTCACCCCCGTCTATTGCTCTTTTCATGGCCTAGAACATGCTCTCAGACCCCCAGGGCCACTGCGGCTGAGGGCTTTCTGTGCTAGGGGTGCTGGGGCCTCAAGACACCTGACAGATGACTACTTTGCGTTTCAGACATGTACGACCAGGTGCTGAAGTTTGGGGCATACATTGTGGACAGCCTCAGGCAATACAAACAGCCCGTCCTGATCTACATCCCACCCTACGCGGAGCTCCGGGGAGGCTCCTGGGTCGTGGTGGACTCCACCATCAACCCCCTGTGCATAGAAATGTATGCAGACAAAGAGAGCAGGTGGGTGCTCGACCTCGACCTGGCTAAGCCTTTTCTCATTCTCACTCCCCGTCACCTTTGAGCCACTGGCTGGGGATCTTGGGAGTGTTCTGAGTTCCTGAAGGATGGAGACCCTCCAGCTTCGCCAGTCCAAAACTACTGTCCAGCGTAGGATTGGATGTTCTCTGGAGAGCTAGTGACTGGAGCCCAAAGGCGGTGGAGGAGTTGTTGTTGATTCTTTTATAACTTTTTTTTTTTTGTCTTTTTCCATTTTTTTATTATTGCGAATATAGCTGCTGCAAACATTGATGTACAGATTTTTTTATGTGAACGTAAGTTTTCATTTGTCTGAAATAAATGTCCAGGAGTACAATTGCTAGGTTGAATGGTAGCTGACTGTTTAGTTTTTTTAAGAAATTGCCAAGATGTTTTCCAGAGTAGCTATACCATTTTACATTTTCACCATCAATACATAAGTGGTCTAGTTATTCTGAATGCTCACCAGCATTTGGTGTTGTCACTTCTTTTTTTTAACGTTTTCCATTCTGATAGGTATGAAGTGATCTCATAATGGTTTTAATTGGCATTTCCCTAATGGCTAATAATGTTGAACATCTGAGAATGTGCTTATTTGCCATCTGAATATTCTCTCTGGAGAAATGTCTCATACCTTTTGTCCATTTTCTAGCTGGATTGTTCATTTTTTCTTTTTTACTGTTAAGTTTTTTTTTTTACTGTTGTAGTTTAAGTGAAAGTTTACAATTCAAGTCAGTCTCGCATACAAAAATTTATACATACATTGTTATATGACCCCAGCTGCTCTCCCTGTACTGTGTGACAGCACACTCCTCCTTTCCACCCGATTTCCCATGTCCATTCAACCAGCTCCTGACCCTCTCTGCCTTCTCATCTTACCTCCAGACAGAAGCTGCCCGTTTAGTCTCACATATCTACTTGAGCTAAGAAGCACCCTCTTCATGAGTATCACTTTATATCCCACAGTCCAGTCCAATCTGTCTGAAGAGTTGGCCTCGGAAATTGTTTTAGTTCTGGGTTGAGAGAGAGTCCGGGGGCCATGCTTTCTGGGGTTCCTCCAGTCTCAGTCAGACCATTAAGTCTGGTCTTCTTACTAGAATTTGAGTTCTGCACCCCACC